AGGAGCAATCCGCATTTTAATTGGCAATTTCAGGGTTTTTTCCCCTTAAATTTATCAATTCTATTTTATTTCTACAGTTGTTTGTTCCTTCCTCTTTTTTTGCATGGAAATTAATCATGCAGGAAATGATTAACCACAGTGAGCTGTCTGTCTGCCTCTGACTCAATATGTTTAAGAGGGAGGGCCTTCAAGCAGCTCGTAATGGCTGACCAGATGCAAACTGTGCACTTGCAGTCTAATTGTTCAAACTCTCCATCCCACATTAAAGGTCACATTCCTTTTTAGCATTTGTAATGCTCCTAAAATAATTTCTGAAATAACAAATTAAATCTGAAATACCCAGAATTTCTGTTTCATGTAATTCAGTGTAGTGACAGTTTTGCTCATTGCTCTTCATATATTACTCTGTGGAGCAAGGGGCTCTTTGCAGTATGCAATGTATGCTTTCTCTCTCGTCTATTTTAGTTTTTAAATGAAATTAGTTTTTATCATTATATATTGCATATCACAATATTTTTATATCGTTCCTGATAGCGACTGCCGGGTGTGCCTGGTAGTTTGCAAAAATGAGAGCTTTCTTATGCAGGTATTCTTTACTTAGGCAGCTTTGGAGCATCTCGTTTGCCGGCGGCTGGGCTGGCTTTCTCCAAAGGCAGCAGAGGCGGGCTCTGTGCACAGCCCTCTCGAGAAGGGTGTGCAGGGAGGCTGCCCCGGCCCCGGGGCTGTGTCCGGGGCGGTGCAGAGCGGGTGCGGGGAAGCGGTGGGTGCCTGCTCACGGCGATAGCAGAGCCCAGGGCGACCGGGGCTGGCTCTCGGAGGAACCGGCCGTGTGCACGGTGCTGCTGGCGCCTCCTGCGCAGCGGGAGAGCAGCTGCTGCCGCTGCTGCCAGCTGTGGAAATCCTTCTGTCTTGCTGACAATACAGACCTTTGTGTTTGGGGCTCCGTGGCCGATGCTGCAGTGTACGTGTGCGGGTTAGTTACTGGAATCCTTTCTGCTGCACCACCGGTGCTCATCTAGACATAACATTAACATGCAGCTCTTAAAAGCAGTGGTGGCTTACATTGCGACCTAGAAAATATGCTAGGACACGTATCCTGGGTTTTCAAGTATCAATACACCTTCAGTCTTTTGCAACTGGTTCCTTTTTAACACCCTGCAACACCGAGTGTTATAATCAACTTGGTTGTTAACAGATTTGGTGGGTAAAATTTATTATTGGGTGAATCAGTTACTATTTCAGGTATTTTATAGTGTCAGCTGTTAACAATCGAACATAATGTCCATTTCTTAAGTTCAGCTCTTTCCCGCTGACCAAGAGCAAATAATGATCTGAGTGTATTGCTGAAGCGCAGGACAGTAACCAAAGCTTTCCTCTAATTGCAGTTACACTTAACATCTTAGGACATCTCCATGCTCCTGGGAATTAGTGATGAACAAAGCAGCTGCAGAATTCAAGTTCAGCATTGTGCTGACTCAGCTGCTTTGGTTCTGCAGCCCAAGAGGTGTTTCTCATCCCCCTGTGCTGTGGGGGCAAGTCAGCAGGTCACTGCATCTCTTCAGAACGTTATTATTCTTCCTACAGGCTTATAGTGATAGAATTTTAAAATCCAAAGGGCCTTTTTTTTTTTTTTTGCTTACAATAAGTCAGACAAAAAATTAGATTGTACAGAATCTAACCAAACAAGAAAGGGTGAGTTGGAGCTTCAAAGACAGAGGTGCCGTTTCTTTCTGTGAAGTTTCAGCTTGAGTTTCTGAAATTCTTTTTTATCAGCAGAAGCAGAGTCAGAGTGACAAAAGTTAGAGTGGTGTTTTAACTTTGGTTTTAAACTAAAATTTGACAATATGGGGTGTTTTACTGGCTCTGTAAGTGTATGCAGTATACATTTTTGCATGGGCATGCAGGTTTCTGAGTCAAAGCATGTGTTCTCTTTTCTGATGGCCCCTAAAGGAAGTGTGTGCTCTAGAACATCATGAGTAAACAACCCTGCAGGATGCTTGCATTAAACTTCAATCCAGTTCTGCCTGAGTTTGTCTTATTATAGAAGCTTGTCCTGTGCTTCCAAAATGCCATTTTCCAGCCTACCTTTGAGGGCCACAGGGCTTGTTCAGCAGTAGCTAAATGCTAAGCTCACCATTGTGCAGCTGTGTGTACCTAATTTTCACTTCAATTCTGTTGAAAAAGCCCTTCAGTATCAGAATTACTAGCTACTGTGCAGCTAGTGACTTTGGGTACATGTAAGATGGGATAGGGAAGGAGGGAATGCCTAGTGCCTTTCTCCCCATTACCTCCTTGCAAATCGTCTGCACAGGGAGGATTTTGGAGAAGCTGGATGTGTCTGTGGGTAGTGGCTTCCCCTTAGAGAACTCAGGCTTCAAGCATCACCTTTCTTCCCCTCTATCCCCACCAATTCCTTAAGGAGCTGATCTAAAACAAGTTAAAAGGACATAGAAGTAGAGCAGAGCAGCCCAAGCATGCAGGAAGCAATCTCTTAACTGACAGGGAGGTAAACAAGTTATGGTATTTTACAGAAAGTGCTTCGTAGACCACCTGGCTCACTTGCTGCATTCAGGTCTGAGCTGCCTTAAGGGATTCATTTAAAAGTCTGATATCAAACCAAGCTGTATTCTGCCTGTTCCAGAAACCTTCCTGTGACACATGGCGTGCCAAGGAGACCCAGTACATTATCCACACTGCTTTGGCCTCTTAGCAAAGCAGTGCAGAGAGCAGACTTTCTCTTTTTAATCAGTTGAAGTAGTTAAAAGCTTGGTGAAATACCCTCATGGCACAGTTAAGCTAGAGACAACTGCAACTGTGAAAAGACTGTGTTAAGAAACAGGATGGTTGTGGTCTGCTGTAAGAAATAATTTTCCTGTTGACTATTTTTTTAAACAGGAAGCTGAAGAACAAAGCAGCATTAGTCTTGGTGCTTTTAATAGGCTTCAGATTTCAAATATTGGATTTAGAATGTGAAGATCAGGAAAGGATCGGGCTTTGTGCAGAGTCTTATGTAACAACTGAGAGCTAGAAATGCAGAAGATAGGAATATAACTGAATTCAAGCAGATCCTCTGAATGTGAAACTTGTTTCTCTGGAAAAGCCCTAAGATGCTCAGTAATGCACCAGAGGAGTGACGAGAGCAGGCTGGTCTGTTTGCAGGACTTTGCGAATGCGTGCATTTGCACAGTGTGTAGGCTTGGCTTCACACAGTTTCCTCTTTGTCAGTCAGTCTGTCCATGGGCCAGCTTCCCCTCTGCTCTGCTCACTCTTTTGCAGTAACCGGAAAGAGAAACAGTTTCTGCAGTATGGGAGAAGAAAACCTGCAAACACTAGAGACAGTACTAGTGCCTCGTGCCACTTCAAACTCCATGGTTTTTCTAGATATTCAGCCAGAGCTAGGGGTGATGAGTCTGACTCCTTTCCAAGCCCTTTCCTCTCTAAAGATTTTACACAAAATCTATTAAAGTCTTATTTCAGAAAAGCTTTCTTCTGAGGAAGGTAGGTCAGCAATTTTTTTTTTTTTTTGGGGGGGGGTTGTAGCTGTATTCTAATTCTTTTGGAGCATGAACATCTGATGAGATAAATCTGTACTTTCTGTACCATTTTTTTCTGTCACACACATCACAGATCATGTTGGAGCCATTAGAGACACTGTAGGTCATGACTCACCTCAAACCCTCACTGCAAATGCCATTTTGTTTCATTCAGCAATTTTTCCTAATGTTCATTTAAACTGTAAAGGGTACTGTACCTAGCATGATGTTGATTTGACAGATACTATGCTGTTACACTTCCCCCTGGTTTCATAAAAAACCACATAAGTTACTTAAAAAAGTAAAAGCTGTGTATTCCTGTAAATAACTGCCCTGAGGACTTCAGCTGTCAGCCTGGGGTTGTCTGGAGAATAACCCGTATTCCTATTCCCACTGTGTTTACCTGTTGTGTGCAAACGTTATATAAATGGTGGCAAATCATTGTAACTGAAGCTGGCTCAGGTGGATGGGCCAGCAGAAGGTGAAAGCTCAGGTGAAAGAGTAAAGCACATGCTGAAATGCCACAGCACCATTAGAAAAGCCCCAACAGGTACAGTTCCAGCGAGCTGGGTGCCAAAATGCCACAAAAAGACCTTGTGACTTAAAAAGTCTTTGACACTTGGCCTTTCTTTTTTTTGTTGTTTTGTATTTTTGTTTCAATGAAGTTCTGCATCCCAGATGTGACCCTCCTAGGATTGTCTTAGGTTGAAAGTTTTGGTTGGAGTGTGGAAAAGTGGGAGCCTGGTCTCCAGTAGCGAATATAGTGAAAGGCTGAGCTTTAGCAGTCAGGCTTTTCCCTTTCCAGCAGCCTGCAGCTGAGAGGCCAGGCTGCCTACTTGCTCTTCCTCCTCAGGGAAAATGCACATAGCATGACTGTGTGTGCTGCCTCTGAGGAGGAGGAAAGTGCATTCAGATGTGATGATGGAGCATGGAATCTTCAGAGCAAGCAGGGAGAAAGGAAGAAGCATGAGTATGTCCTAGAGTTCTGCTGTTCCACCCTACCCATAACAGCATATGTGTGAATCTTTTAGCAACTGAAGGGATTTAACAGGTCAGCATCTGACTTTCTGAGTAGGATCTTAAAGTATGATATCTTCTTGAAGCAAGGGTTGATGATGTAGCTATGGAACTATCCTGAAGCACTTCCATAGGAAGAAGATTGTTGGATTAAAAGAGTACAATTTTGTTACTGCATTGTTTGCATTGCATGGATTTTGTAAGTGTGCAAAACTGGATGTGTATGTCTATGAGTTTATATGGCAATGGGGCTTATGTTGGGAGCCCCTCTTTAAAGATGCAGCTGGTTTCCATACAATTAAATATGAAGTGCTTTTTATATATTATTTAGACTTAGAAAATATAAAAGATAAACCTATTAGCTGCAAGGATGTTTTTTAGGTGAGTAGAACTTTATTTATTAAGATGTGTTAACCTTTGAGTTTTGTGTGTTTGTGTTTTGCTGTGCAGGTTTCTTAGCAAGAGCAGACAGAGCTCAGCCTTCCACCATGCCTGTGCCTCCCCCTCCAGCTCCCCCTCCACCCCCAACACTAGCCTTGGTAAGTTTTACGGGAGGTAAATGTACCATATGCACTGTTCTCTACTGCTGCTTGTCACATTGAATAGGATGTCCAGAGATAGGGAGGTGTGGATGAGGGTATCTTGACATTTGGGGAAAGCTCTCCAACATTTTGGTTTTGGTTGATTATTGATCCTGTGAGAAAGACCATCACTTTCACTCCTTTCCAGTGCTCATATGGATGTTGCTGTCTACTCTGATTCTCCATCCTTCTCTCCCTCCCACACTGGTGGTTTGATCTGGTGGGGAGACAACAGCTTGTCTAAGTCAGGGAGATTGAAGTCTTGGTATCCCCTTAACTTTCTCCAAACATGTACTCCCACCTGCTACTCTAGTACTTACATGACCTGAGCTGGAAAAAATCAATCCTATTGTTTAAATTTGGTAAGGATAGTTCTTAGCTAGCACAGCTCCCTCAGCCAACTTGGGGTATCAGAGCACAGGATCCACTGCTGACACAGTGGGTGAAACTACATTGGACCTGATTTAATTTTAAGCCTAAGCTGAAATAGATCTTGTGCTATGTTTGCCTGTCCAACAGTCAGTCATCTCACTGACAAGAAGAAAAAGGCTTCTTGAAATGCTGTTTTAAAGTACTCAGATATTTTCAGAGCAAACCCTGAGCTGGTTACACGGATAGAATGGGCTACACCTCTGAAGAGTCTTTCTCTCATTTTCCACCCCAAGTATGACTCTCTGCTTGGTCCCTCCATGGCAACTCTCTCTACCTTTCAGGAAATCTCTGTAACACTGATCTGATAAGCTGGAAAGTTTTTCAGAAACCACTATTTCCTATAAGAGGCATATATATGTGCATATGTACGTGCATGTATGTGTATGGTTTGGGGGTTTTTTGTTATTCCTTGAAAAACTGTGTCAACAAAACATAAACTGAAAAGAGAGGACCATTGAGACAAACCTAAAGGTTTCATTTGATCTAGATGAAGAGGTCTATATATGGAAGTAGCGATTGCCATTTTTAAATACTCCTAACAAAACTAAAATAGTAGATAAAGGCCCATCTTTCTTCTGATTTATCTAGAATTTGTATTTCACTACAACTTTCAAGAATGCTCATTTTCTTGTGTAATCAGATTATGTATATAATTTGCCATAGATATGCCTTGGCTTTAAAAAATCAGAAACTCTGAATCTTGAGTTTAAAGAATGTGAATTCACATGGAAGTATTCAGTTTCTGGTGATTAGTGTGGGTTAGAATAGTAGCAGTGTTTGGGGCCTTGAGTCAGTAACAAGGCCAACTACCTTTAACATCATTCACAAAAATAGACATGGCATGCTACCCACTCCAGTGCTGTTCAAACTGAAACTGGAGTCTCAAGTAACTACCATATTTGAACAGAACTTTTATCTAGAAGTTGAGTTTTATTTTGCCTCCTCATTTTTAATTTTATTTTGCAGGCAAATACGGAAAAGCCATCCCTAAGCAGGTCAGAACAAGCAGGGAGAAATGCTCTATTATCTGATATTACCAAAGGAAAAAAGCTCAAGAAGACTGTTACTAATGACAGAAGTGCCCCAATTTTAGACAGTAAGTATGATTCTATATGTTGTAGTATCTATAGGTGTGAATGGTTCTACACATCTGAATGCAGAAAATTATCATCAGATGAACTGTAGGTAAAATAAAGTGCCAGTAGTGGCATGCATAAAAGTAAATTCTGTTCATCATGGATGAATAGTCAGCTGAGAAATCAAGTACTGCTTATGAAATGTGAATGTTAATTTGTTTGCTTATCCTCATATAGCAGTTTATTTTCTTGTTTGCTTATATTGGAAAACTATGCAAGCCCTACTAGGAGTTCTGCTGAGGAGCTGCAACAGATCAGAAAAACAAAACCCCCATCAGGACTGAGGAGAGCACAGAGAATAAATTGGAATTTCAGACTCTACTTTTGCATAAACAATATAAGAATAAATGTGTGTCTGGCATGACACCATTGGCTCTTTAATGGCCCCAGTACCACTTAAAGCAGAACCACAGCCACAAGCCACAGCTCCACCTGTGTGTCACTCTGCACACAGTTTTACCATTCCTGGAGTGACTCAGGGGTGTTATCTTTTTGGCTGAGCCTTGTTGCCCAGCCTGCCCACTAGTACTGTGGCACAAGGCAGTGCCTCCACTTCCATGAATGGAATCAAGGTCTCCATCCATCTGTGCTGCTGCTGTGTCTCACAGAACATCTTGGTAGGTGCTGAGAGGAGGCTGGAAAAGCCCATGAAGCAAAAATATTGGGAAGACAGACCAGAAACAGGAGAAGTGTGAGGAGAACACAGTCCCGCTCTGACAGAGGAACAGGATTTATTGCCTAAGGAGAGAAGACACTTCTACAGACTGATTAGCAAATGTGGTACACCTCAGTTTAGGTTTGGCCATGCAGTTAAAGGCTGGATTGTGTTAGGAAGATGATGAGGAAAGCAGGAAATGCCAAGAGGAGTATGACCAAATAAAAATAATTTAAAAAAATAGATGCAGTCCTGCAATCAGCCAGCTACAGTTTTTAAACCCTTATTATCTCTGAATGTGAAGTTGCACATTCTAGGTATTGTAATGAGCTGGAGGGGATTAAAGGAGGGGGTAAACAGTAAGATAAAAATTATGCAGCCTATTATCTTGTTTACATGAATTAACAAATCATGATGAAAGACTTAACCATAGTAGCAGCATTTCTCCAGAGGTTCACACCCTGTGTGAATCAGAGCCAAACCGAGCTGACGTGCTTGAGAAGGATAATGTGAAACATGCGTCCATGGATACACTCTTCCTCCTTTTTTCTTGGGGGGATTTTTAGAAGTGCTTTTGATCCACAAGTTTTAGTTACCGTAAAGTCAGTGAAATTATTGCCAACCCAAAGTTTTGGAAATCAAGATTCCAAGAGATGAAGCCATTGATCCTTGTCCATGTAGCCCATCATCTGAGAACTGATCTCGACAGATATCCCAACCTGTGGGCCTGCTCATTTGGCAGTGATGCTCTGAATAGGGCTCTTTTCTGTACTGGTAGTTGTGGAAACACTTTCATTTTACTTTTGGCAACTCCGTGTTGTCACAGCAGAAATACTGACATTAGAGAGAAAGAAGAGAGAAAGGGAAAGGGGGGGGAGCTGATAAAATAATTCCTGCCTATTGGAAACATTAACAGCTAATGATCTCGTCACTGCATTTCCATTTCTGAATCTACAGAAAAGTAATCAGAAATGGGATCTCTTTCCCTACTAAACTTTGTTTAGATAAATAGAGATGTTGCAACACCATTAGTAATGAGAGGTGTGTTCCCAGAAGCAATCACCAGACACACCTTCAAGAGGAAGGACCCTCTGTCTTCCTCCTTCCTTCCTTATTTTCCATGAGATTGCCCTGTTTCTGCTTATGGAGAAGTGGAGGGTAAGGATAAGAGAACAGAAGTACAAAGAAACAGAAAGAAGCTACTAAGATGATAGCAAAGACAACATGATATTCTAGAGGTCCCATCCATGCTCAATTCCAAATTTTCCACAGCAATTTTATCTGCTTTCTAGTCCAGAGCAGACTAAAGGAAATTGATGGCTTAATAAAACACAGGGGCTATGGTTATCACACCACCTCTGCCACGGTGCAAGAGTGCTGGTGATGGCAGCTGTGATGATCCAAACCCTGTGTATTTTGAAAGCTCATCCATTTTGCACCAGCTGCAAGCATTGCTCTAATGGAAGAGATGACTTTTCAGAATCAGTCTTGCTTCACTAACATGGAGGATTTTTTTTTTCCAACAGAACCCAAAGGACCTGGTGGAGGTGGCGGCGGTGGCTTTGGAGGAGGTGGCGGTGGCAGTGGTGGGGGTTTTGGTGGTGGCAGTGGTGGTGGCTTCAGTGGCGGTGGACCACCAGGCCTTGGAGGCCTTTTTCAAGCAGGAATGCCAAAGCTCAGATCTGCTGCAAGTCGAGATGCCGGTAAGAGTTCCAGTGTGAAAAAATAAATTATATTGCTTAAAACATTCATATTACCTGCTGGGATTGAAAAAGCCATCAAATATCTTTAGATTCTTAGGAAATGTAATTTTCAGCTTGTATCTTGTTTTACTTTACTATTAGGTTTTATGAGGGAGAGGTGGGACTCCCTTTCCACCCATCCTCTTAGTTATTGATGAAAACTAAAGATCTTGGCAGTGCTGAATTGCTGCTTGCAAAGTACAGTCAGGCAGACTAGGTCCTGCCTCAGCTATTGGTGTGCAGGACCAGAGGGGAACATAGGAGGATCCAGGCTAATTTTCTTGTGCACCAGGAAAAAGGATCTATTTTCCAAATGGAAAGTACATCTGCATCAGCTCTACAACAGCGTGATTTGCCGCTTGGGGAGCGCACGAGGCATCCCAGCTGGCTGGTACACACACTGCAGTTGGAGGCTTGTCTGGGGCAGGCACTGTACTTCTGGCTGACAAAACAGCTGCCCAGAGCCTCATGCCCTTTGAAAAGAAGGACATCCGGGGCCAGTGAGTTTTGAAAGTTTAAGGACAGAGGACTTCATGCTTGTTGAAGAACTGTGCAGTGGGGGTTGTAGGGCGTTACAAACATTACATATTTTATAGCCTAACAAAATTTTTCAGCACACGTACAAAACAGGCTCTTGGACCTGGTATTTTCTATTGTGTCACATTCTATTTTGGGAACTTGTATTAACACAAAAGTTCCTGGCATCACAGAACAGTACTTCTTCAACTGCAGGGCCTGCTGCCATCTTCCTGATGCGCACAACTACATCCTTAGATAACAGCTACTAGAAAGGGCTGCAAAGAGCCTTTTGCCGGACTGTTGTTGTTAAAGATCATTTAAAAGCTAACATTTCTTTGCTCTCAGGTTGATGGTATCCAATACTTGTTCTTTACCATTTCTTCCCTCCCTGTGTCATTGCTTGCTGTGATGGCTGCATCACTCGTGTTACTTTCCGGACACTGAAGTCGTCCCTCATAAGGAATATCGGGCTGTAACCAGCTATTGGAATGGTTCCCCAGTGCTGCCGGGGTTGGTGCTGAGCCCCAGGGCTGGTGTGCCCCGTGCCGGGCTGCCCCCCAGCCGCTCACAGTGCCTCGGGACACGGCCCGTGCGGCACCGCAGTGCCGCTCCGACGGCGCTCATGCCCCTGTCCTGTGTCCGCAGATTCCGGGGGAGGCCGCCCCGCCCGTCCTGCCGCCCGGAGGCCGATCCGCCGCCGCCAAGCCGTTCTCGCGCCGAGCGGCCCGCCGCGCTTCCCGGGGCCGCCGTCGGGCCAAGGACCGCCGCCCCCGACCCGCAGAGGGAGCCGCCTGCCGCCGCCCAGACCCGACGCCGGCTCCAAGCCCGAGGCGGCGCCGCCGCCGGTGCCAGCACGCCCCGGCCCCATCGCCTCCAGCCTGCACAACCGGGGGTCGCCGCCGGTGCCGGGCGTGACCCGGCAGCCAGCCTGGGCCCTCGCCCCCGCCGTTCCCGGGCCAGCCGGGCGCGGGGTCGGCCGGGCCGCTGCGGCAGCCCGGCCCCGCGCGACGCCCCCGTTCTCGGGCCGGCCGCGCTGCCGCCCACCCCGGGCCGGCCGGCGGAGGACAAGCGCGCCGCCGCCGCCCCCCGCCGGGCACCGGCCGTCCGCCGCCCGGGACGGCCGCTGCCCCCGCCGCCGCCGCAGAACAGCAAGCCGCCCGTGCCCGCCGCCCCCCGGCCCGCCCTCGGCGCCCCGGCGCCCCCGCCGCCGCCCCCCAGCCGGCCGGGGCCGCCCCCCGTCCCGCCCGCCCCCGCCGGCGGCGACGAGATGCCGCGGCTGCCGCAGAGGAACATCTCGCTGGGGTCGTGCCCGGCGCCCGGCGGGGGCCGCTCCGGACCGCTGCCCCCGCCGCCCAGCGAGAGGCCGCCGCCGCCCGTCAGGGACCCGCCCGGCCGCTCAGGTAGGGAGGAACGGGTGGGCGCGGGGGACCGGGCGAGGGTTCTTGGGCCATGCACGCACCGGCTTCACATGGGTGACAAATACATGCCAGGATGGCACCCGTGTGAGGCACTAAGGATTCTGCAGTTGGAAGAGAGGGTTTATGGGCATCACGATGGCTTAAGGAAAGTCACAGTGCATCACCAGCATAGTCACGTGTACTTTTGCAGATCTTGGTAACTTTCATTGTAATTACTGTAATTGAAAAGGGTTGCCAATGGGATTTCCCCATTAGAGTTTTTGATGCAGAGAAGCTGTTTTACCTGGCTTCTGGTGGGTGACAGCATTTGCCTTCCTGAGTCAACCAGTGAGTTAATGGTGGCATTCTCATGAATGGAGGTTTGTGAAACCTGACCTTCTACGTGTTGGGAGGCACAAACATAGCCAAATACAAATTATTTTAATAAAAGACCTAGCCAGTAGTTGTTAAATATAATAGCAGTTGTTACAGTGTGAATAAATTGTTACTTACCATATGTAGATATCAAATTTGAAAGTAGAAATGTCTCCTTTGAGTTGTTTCATAATATACTTTGTCCTCTGTGACAACTATTGTTCATAACTTTTAAGAATTGCACATCATAGCTCTATAATACCTGATGGTTCTCCCATTTGTCATGAGAGAATTTGGTCACAGCCAGGCCCTGCAACATCATGAGGCAAAAAGCATTGCCCAGAAGATAATGCTGTGAAGCTCAGTAGAGTTGCCTTTCATTTCATCCTTTGGAATAGAAGTTTGAAATCATCTCAAACCAGTCCTAGACAATAGAAACGAATGTCATGGGAGCTCCCACTGGTGATAGCCACCTGTGTTACCTTCCAGCTCCTTGAACCAGCCTGGATCTGCAGTAGCACAGCACCTGCCGCAGCTTTGCAGCTACAGAAAATACTGGCCCTGAAACCATACTTTGTGGAGCTGGTTGCCAGCCCAAAGAATGGCATAATGCTAGTGCAGCCTGCAGTAAATAAATCAGAGAAATCCTGACACAATTGACTGGGAGGATGGAAAGTTGCAGAGAATGTCTGCAATTCCAAGAGCTTGTTCCATGATGGCCTCAGCTTCCACTAGTGCTTTCCTGGTTGACTCTTTCCTGAAGCAAGTGGTTTTAGCAAACTTGCACTACCTTTCTGTTGGCTTACTAAGTAGAAGATAACTATGTCTCAATAAGTTATAAACATAATTACAGCTATTTTGCAGTAGTTCGATATAGATGATGGAGTTTAGCTAGGTTTAGAGAGAGAGCAAGCAAAACTATTCTGAAAGTTGCTAAATGCTTCTCATTCTTAGAAGCCATTCCCTTGAAGGCAAACTTGAGTAATATATAAAATAAGAAGGGGGGGAAAATCCACAAAGTATAGCATGTTTCTTGAAAGATGTTTCAGTGCTTGTTGGTGGAGACACAGTATTTGTTACTCTCTTTTTCAAAATGCATGTCTGTAGATAGGTTTCATCAGGACAGGGGAGCATTCCATAAAAATGAACATAATTGTCAGTTGCCCAACTATGCTAAATAGAGGTAGTGAGGCTTTGAACACGCATAGCTCTCCACACCCTCTGCTTCACCTCCTTGTATCCTAACCATGGATACCTCTCTCCCTGGCAGCAGCCGGTTTCTTGTCTTTATTTACTTTTCTTATATCAGCACCCTTCCCCTGCCCTCAGGATAGCCCTGGTCCTGTATTACGTGGGTTGTGCCTTTGTATTTGACCTGTCATGTCACTGTGCCAGTTACACAGATACACCAACACTGGAAATGCCAGTCTATGTGTGAGGTCTGTTTCCAGTTTAGAGGGAGATGGATATGCTCCAACTACCGAAAAACTTGTCATGCAGCTCATTTGTTTATAAATAAGTGAGCTAATGTGATGCAGCTTAATGCTGCCATTCCTGGGCTGAACTCCCTGTGTGCCACCACAGATCCAGGCTGCGACCCAGAGGGGACCACCCCTATGGACAAAGAACCTCTGAGGGTAGCAGATGTCTTCTTCTACATGTTCTCTTGCCTTGGACCTCCACAACACCCTGAATTCCAGCTGTAACTTCTTGTTGTGAGCACTGCTAAGTTAGAGTGGTTTAAAAGTAGCTTCAAGGACCAGCACTTCTACAGAGACCTCTGTAGCTGAGAGTAATGGACACTGTGGTGTATTTATGTTTAGATATACCCTGCTCCCCTGAGCTGTACTCTTCAAATCAGCACTAACTCCCTAGGGAGCCCTGGAGAGCAGGGAAGTGGGTACTGAAGGCCATTACCACTTGGGGCCAAGGGCCCTAAGACAGCCCTTCCTCTCTGTTTTGTTGGTGGGAGGGCTTGGGATGCAGGCATCCCAACAGAATAACCCCTGGTGCTAACAGCATTTGTTTGCTTGTCTCTTGTCTTGCTCTAGGCCCCCTCCCACCACCTCCTCCCATAAGCAGGAATGGAAGCACTTCAAGGGCTTTGCCCGCTACTCCCCAGCTGCCTTCCCGGGCAGGGCTGGACAGCCCAAGAGCTGGACCCCGACCTCCGCTTCCCCCAGACCGGCCGGGTTCGGCAGCACCACCGCCGCCACCGCCACCTTCATCGGCTGTCAGAAATGGCTTCCAGGATCCAGGCGATGGTAAGCCATCCTCCCAGTTGTTTGCCTTTGATAGAAACGGTGTACTATTTTGGCCTTAATGTGTCAAAAAAGGTTTGGGATAGAGATTTGTTTCTGGTGCTGACCTTTGACTTCTGACCAACAGAAGTATCACTGGGATCTCAATCAACCCTGCCAAGTAAGAATCGAGTAAATATGCCATACATAGAGCAGAACTGCAAAGTCATCAATACAGTCTCCAAAATAACTCTTTCAAAAATACCCTGAAAAAACGAAGGGGATTGTTTCAACTCTACTATGAGTCCAAACCATAGCTACACTGACATTTTGGATGTCAGAACAAGTTAGATGACTCAAAAGTGAAAGCTGAAAAACAGATGAGTGAAGAGATTGTCAGAATGTTGCTGAAAATGTCAAGTATCTATTTCTGCTAGTGTTTATTGAAAAGATGAGGTCCAAGACTGCCGTGTTTTAAAGATTCATCATGCTTTTCTTTTTAATTGTTTTCTATTTGCATAGAACAGATAAATCCTTCAGCTAATTACAGGAGGACAAAATTGGTATTTCTGACATTTATAAGGTTAAAAAAAGCAAACAGAAAATAAAACTGTAAGTCACGCTTTTGAAACATCTTCACACATCAGATAAGGCAGGTGGGTCACAGATGCATTTTTTCCTACACAAGTCATTTGCAGGGTTCAGAACCTGCAGCTCTTTTACACACTGATTTCTGATTGCAACCATTGGGAGTAGACATAGAAAAACTGGATCCCAGCAAATAACCACATGTACTAATGCCAGGTGAAACTTACTCAGCTGTTCATTACGTTATGCAATAAAATATAACAATATTGCAAGAAAGTTGTGGTTACAAAGTCCTGGAGCAAGCAAGTGAAGAAGTTACAAAGTTAAAGATAGCCCACACTTTCTTCCTTAGGCCTTCAAATTCAGGTTCAGAACAGAGCTCTTTGAACATTTCCTATTATTTCAATGAAGTAACTTATCAGCTTGCTTTATTCCTTAGAATCCTATAGACTCAGGAACTACAGCAACAGGGCCTGTGTAGTCTAAAGAGAATTGCAACTGCTGTATTTTTCTATTTTTGACACTAGTTACGTATAGGATTCTCTGTCATAAATTTTATCAAAATGCCCCCAAATTTTCTTTTTCCAGTATAAATTAAGAAAGAAAAAGCACTGCTTATAGGAGATGCTTTTGAGCTCTGTATATCAATGAGATATGAGTATCAGAAAATTTTATACTAGCAACAAAATACTGTTCTGAAGTAGAAGACACTACGTAGTTCTGGTAGCACATATATATGTATGTGTGTGTGTCTGTGTATGTTAAAAGCAGATCTATTATACATGGAAGGGAGCATAAGACTTATTTCACTTACTAGTGGAATTATGGCAGTTTTCCTGATCTGAAATTTTGCATTAAACTGTCTAAGTGATCAGTTACAGTAAATAAGAATTTTCATTCTCAAACTAACCTAAAGCATCTTCTTCTCTGACGTGCTAACAGAATGCTGGTTCAAAACTCAGCTAGGTAAGCATTTTACAATATAAAACATCCATTAAACATGATATTAATGTCAATTGACTTTCCTAAGCTGTGTCAGAAAACTAATGGGTAAATTGCATGGGATTTTTTTCAGATGAATGGGAAAGCAGATTTTCTTTTCATCCTCTATCTGATTTGCCACCTCCAGAGCCATATGTGCCCATGAACAGAAGTTATCCCAGTAAACTAGCAAGAAATGAAAGTAGAGGTAAGTTTATTTCACCTCTGCTGTTGGAATTTCAATGTATTATCCTAAAAACAATGCAGATGGGAAATAGACTGGATTCTGAGGTTTCAAGACTTCTCAGACTAACAATCTGGTCACCCTTCCTCACCACACAGGAAAAGCTAAATGCAGGTTTGCAGGCACAAACCTTCTTAAACTTGTATTTGAGGGGAGAATTGTTTGTCTTCTCAGTTGAAACATGTACTGTAAGCCACCAGCCCTGCCATTATAGTCAGCCCTTCTGCTATAGGCAGCCAGAACCACAAAATCCCCTAGGACTTCCTCCTCATTTCCTATCTAAATTTATGCACAACTCATTTATTCTTGTGTCAGCATCATCCCTGAGTTTAGTTTTCCTCCCTTCTTGTGTGTTAAACCCCTAGTATTTTTCAAGACAAGAGGCATATCCTCCTCTCTGTTTTTGTTTTTCTGGGCTGATTAAATCTGGATGTACTATACTTTGCTTCCAAGCTATGTTCTCTGATTATCAGGGCTGCTTATATATATATTTCAGTTTGATTTTGTCTTTTCCAATCAGAATGACATGCTGTTTCAGTTCAGGTTTCAAATACGTCTTCTACAGCAGCACAAATGTTTCCTGTCTTCATTAGTGGTATTTTGCCTGATACACCCAAGGATCAATTTACTTCTTTTGCAACCAATGACATTGGTGGCCCATAGTTATCCTGTAATCATCTGTACACTCAGATGTTTCTCTCTTGTTTCCAAATTATGAAGTTTTGGTTTGAAGCAGAAATTCCTCTTAGTCTCTGACCCTTCACTATGGCCTGTTAGCTTTCATCCCATTTTTATTACGCCACAAAGAGAGGCAAAGTAATATATGCATTTTTTTGTGTTTTCTTTCATGAGTTTGCAGTGAAAATCTTCATATAGGGAAAAACATTAAGAGCTTTGAAATGCTATTGTGTTTAGAGCTTGCCACTTTTCATTGAAATTTGCATATTTGTCAAATAGCACTGAGAAGGTATGTGTTTGCATAAATCAGTAAAGCTAGCAAGAACTATCAATATGTTTTAGGAAAGAGGAAAAGGACTGAAATATATGTGCTTTCCAGGCATTTGGGGATAACATTAGTTAAAAACTTAATTTTACAGTGTTTGAAGTTCTGATGTTGTTTAATAAACTAACTAGAAACTCAACAAAGTTTTTTGGTTTTTTTTTTTTTAGTGGCCAGGCAAGGAAAGTAGTAGGTTTCCACCAGTTACTGAATTAATTGCTTGGATGTAAACTCCCCCTTCAAAAGAAGGAGTATTCCAGAAGGAGTAACACAAAAAAACTTTCTTTCTCTTTTAGGTGGCTCTGTCCGAAAAGAAAGAGGTGCCCCCCCACTCCCACCTATACCAAGGTGAAATGGGTTCTGGCCCATCTTTGGGCAACATCTGTTTTCAAGTTTCCTTCGAGTCAGTTCTCCTGTCCACATCATTGGAAAGTTGTCAGTCTTGATTTATTTCCACTTTTGGCTTGTCAGCTGGAACTACTTCAGTCTCTATTACAAAAGTAATAGATGCGGCTTAGGAACTGTAGTTGCTCAAAGCTATGAATTTTATTTGCTTATACTGCAGGCATTTTGTGGACCATACACAATATACGTGCACCGTGCTCACTGTGTCCAACCCTGTCCCCTGGAGAGCTCCACGGGAGGTCTGGCTTTGAATTTGATAGAGCTTGAACAAAGCTGTTTCATTCACTTTGGGTACAGTGGCTGTATTATTTGAATCATGAAGTATTTTATGTTTAAAAAAACAGTTGCTGGGGAAAAATGTGTAACCAAGAGGCCCTTGGATCCTTTTTTGCATGCCTAACTTGGCCCATCTGCTTCTGGAGGCCATAGACCTACTACATGGTGGCCAAGAGTTCATCCTTAACTTTTTCACTTCAGCTTATCCACGGAAATCTTAAACAATATGTAGCACATCTTGCCTCAAGGGTGGAGCGTATCTGGCCTTGTTTTCATCTGCAGAGAATCTTCCAAAGAAAAGCACAAGTGAAGAATTCATCAGCATAAAATCTATATTTTTTTTTTAATCCCTCTTTCCTAGTTTTAATAGTGTTATGCTTCCAATGACCAAATTCTTTCCTACTCTGATGTGGACCAACCCAGGGTCATCCATGCCCTGGATTACTGTAATACCCTCTGCCTGATACTGCATGCGAAGAGTCCTCAGAAAGTAGTCTTGGTGCAAATGCAGCAATTATTGTCATTGCAGGCTCCTCCTTTAAAGCATCACTAATACCAGTGCTCCACAGATTGCTTTCCAGTTATTTCTTTGGTACAATTAAACGATGGGGTTTGACTTAAAAAGCTTCCTGGGATTTAAGTCACAACTCTCAGAGAGCTTGTATTTGACTTGCGTTACAGCAGAGCAGCTGAGGTCAAAAATGTGAAGGCCCTTTGGTGTAGTGAAGGGGGCCTGGGGTTTGTGCATTTAAGTGGAAGCATCCAAAATTTGCTGTCTGCACTGGTTCAAGAGAAATGGGAAGATATGGTCTTCTGAGTTTGCCATGAAGCCTGTCCTTTCAAACTTTGCTGAGAGGATTCTCCACAGAAAGCAGCAATGCTTACATTAGTAGAAAAGAGAGTGAGGTATTCTAACATTGTGACAAGTGGTTAATATGTTTAATGGCTTTTGCATTTTTATATGAGGAATTGTATGACTGAATTTTACAAGTGGATCTAAACACATGTAAAATGCTTTTGGAAATTAGAGGAAGATTATAATTCTGGATTTGAAATATCGCTGAATGAAATATTGCTCTTTGTTAATTGGACCTCCAAAGGTTAGCTCTGAAAAATTTCGCCTAAGTCTCAGTATGTTTCTTCAAAGTGCTCTTGGGATCCCTACCAAGCCTGTGTCAGCAGGCATGTTTCACTGGGTGTTGCTCAAAAAAACCTAAAAACCATAAAAACTAGTCATGTAGGTTAAGAAAATGTTTCTCTAGCATGGGAGACATGATCCTAAGTACATTCTGCAGCTAGAATGAGGTCAATCCTTGAAAAATTAGAGAATTTAGCCAGAGAGTCTGGACCCCACTGCATTGTCTGTGCATAAGGCTTTTTGCTCTTTCTGTGAGTGTTGAGGGGCAGATCCCTTTTCTGCCTGACCGCCTGGACAGACACATTGAAGGGGATGAGACAGAGCTGGATTTGGCCAGATCAGATTTAATTTGTTCTTTCCAGTGTTTGTTTACAAAATCTTTTTAGCTGTGATAGAGTTTGATTGTGTACCTGTTTTTTACATTTTTATATCTAATGACCTATTATAAGTTACTGTTTATGGTCCTGAACCTGCAGTTAAATGCGCAGGCGCAGGGATGTATCTACATCTAATTGCAGGATCGTGGCTGTAAGAGTTTCTTAAACAGATACTAGTGGGACCTCCATGTGACAGGTGCACCTTGGGATCAAACCTAGCGCAATATTGAATTTGTATATGTATTTTATGGATGTCACTTAAACAAAGTGCCTGTCTCTTTGGGATATTATTATGTGAATAGAAGTCCAAATAAGATTTTTAGGATAATAACTTAAAGGATAAATTATTGTATTCATGTTTTTAAACTGAAGCACTTAAAACTTTCTAAGAGACAACGTTTTGAATTTAAGAATATAATATTTTCAGTACCTTGACCTGCCAAATCTTTATTAATATCCAAATAGCTATGCAGCCAAAAAAATCCCTCAACCCTCCAGAAACTATACCTTTTTTGAAACTTACCTGCTTCCAACATGTTTTACTTTAATAAGTCAATGAAAATGCTGCCCATTGTTCTGCCAACTCTCTGTTTCATTCAAATATATTATATTTGATCTTTTCAGCAAGGTTTTCCAACCAGAAATCTGGACCACTACCAAAGTGGTAAACTAGCTTTAGTTTCACTTTAAAATGTGCTATGTAAAAGGCCCTCAGTTAACAAGCCAAGAAACCTGACCTGCCTACATTTTAGTGATTCTTTTAACTGTACAAATCTCTTCAGAATGGATGTTTGGCATACATGTAAAATAGCTTAACACTGCAGAAAGAGGCATTTTTCTTCACCTAACAACAACTTTTCCATTTATATCTTCTGCTATAAATGTCCCTAGATATATTCCAGAACAATGCAGCATTTTATCATTCAATATATTGCTTCATATATCAGTAGCTATTTACAATATGATCAGTATTAAAGTATTTATTTCACTATGAAGTGTTAAAAAAGAATAATATGAAACAGATTGAATCAATGGTGCCTTATGACTTTTTTAGTCAACTTTTCTGTGTCTCACTAGAAAAATGAACAGACGTTGCTCTTCCAAGTCCTCACGTAAATAGTGCCGACAGGAGCGTTCCACAGTGTTTGAGCCAAGCACTGCTGTTACGTGCCCAATCGGCTCACCTCAGGTGGAGCTCAGTGAGTAGGTGAGGTGTATGTGGGCACTGGTTAGATTCACAGTCAGTTGTTGGTATTGCTCTGAAAATTTAACTCTTTCACAAAACCAGTGTCTGAGGCTGCTGTCCACACAGCCCAGCTGACTTCAGTGTGGTTGCATAGGTTATTACAGGACTAAATTTGATTCACTGCTTGCATATAAGATTTGCTGGTTTTGTTTCAATGGCCTTGCATTATAAACCTTCACACCTCAAACTCTCTTCTTACATTATCACTAAGACTCACACTGTGTTACAATGGCCACAGATGTTCATTTTTGTTTAATTCAACTCAGTAAATAAAATGAGAATAACTTCTATACCACGTGAAAATAATTTTTCCTCTATGTTTTTAGAAGAAAAGCGTATGTTATGTTTGTTATGACTTTCTGCACCAACCACTGGGCGAAGAGGTGACAGTGATTAATGTTCAGAGTTGTTAAAGGAAACTGAGCTTGTGATTCAGGAAGCATATATTTCTGTAAATGAAATAAATAAGGTTGCAAAGTTCCTGTTTAGAAGCCAGCATTTCCCAACACTAAAAGAATCATAAGAATTAATTTTTTTCTGCAAGACTGAACTGTTAAAGTAGTTCCTTAAATTGCCACTTAAAAAACTGGACAGTAGTTACTCCCTCCAGCAACAATTGTTTACATGACTCTTATAGATCTGCCTTGGAACAGAGAATGAAGGAACTAAACTGCTAACATACTTTACATATATTGTAACAACAATTTCCTGTGCAGAAGTATGGAAATAGAAAGGGTACTTTTTGCCTTGGAAGCAAAGAATGAAGTTGAATGATCAAACTGAGATTATTTCAAGCAGAATGTCAACTGCTGAGAGACCTAGAGAGGGCCTCTCAGCCACAGGACAGTGGAAAAGAGAAGATTGGTCAAAGAAATAAAAAAACGATTGGCTGAATGTTGTTATCAATACTAGAGTAAAAGTTACAATATAAAATGTGCATGTATGTAGTACCACACTGCGATAGCGTGAACACCCTGGTCTCACAGTCAGGTGCAAACAACTTGTTATGGCGGTACATTGACTCTGTGTAACATATATTGTATGAACTTTAATCTTTCAAACAGTATTCACCAGAAAATAAGGAGAATCTCTCACCTAAGCTATCCAGAAGCACATTAAGTTAAGTTCATGGAATGGTTCTTCATGTATATTGGGAGAAAACAGGGATCTCGTAGCCTGTAAGATGGATGTGACTGGACCATTCAGTTAAAATGTAAACCTGGAACATTGGCAAAAAGGGGAGTGTTGGAGTTACTCAGCCAGAAGCAGGGCACATGTGTATGGTCTCAGTGAGTGAGTATGCAGCAGGTAGGTATGCAGACTAAAAGAGAAAAATGGAAACCGCATGTCTTACAAAAGGGAGTAGCCCTTCAATATGCTGCCATTTTGAAATACAGTTTGTCTGTGATAAATGTTCTTTAGTGTAAACTAATGCATGCAGAGGAAGACATCTAAATTTGGACTTCCAAAGCCACACAAGAGAAAGAAGCATAAAACATAGGCTGAGCAGAAAGTAACATGTTTTTATCAGATGCTTAAAGTTTGAGCTTTTTATAAAATATTAATCTAGTTCTGTGAATTTTTTTTGCTTAACATTTATTTTGTAAGTGATTTTGTTCTCCCTATTTTTCTGTTCTATACCAAATAAATTTTACTTTTATTATAATTGGTGGTGCAGACTGTTACACTGAGAATAACCACAGTTGCTTCTTTGACAAAAGCACACATTGGCTTTAGCAGGAGCATAACAGTGAGCCTGGCAGGAGCTGGGTTGAGCTGTTCTCCTCCCCTTCTGCCTGCCATTGCACAGCAATAATGCTCAGAGGACTTTGGTCCTACATACAATGAAGAATAGACACCTGCAGATGAGGAGAAATAAAGAGTTTACTTTAGGATAAAGAATCAGAAATCAGTGGTCAGTGATGCTGTACTTCTGGGTGGCTGTTGGGTGAGCTGTGGGCATTGGCTCTTGGCCAGGCAAGCTAAGCACTTGCCATGGGGAGATGACATGGAAAATCACTCTACTTAAGTGTAGATTTTTTGTTTGTCATGGCTCCACTCACTAGGCAGAAAGCTGCCAGAGAATGTCAAACAAATGGAACACTCCTTTTGACTTTGGAGTCCTGTTCTTGATCGTGGATGTTAACCTTTTCAGATAATTTGGACCGTGTTCATCAGAGAAAGGCCCTTTGATACAAAAATCCAAAGGAGGCTCAAATTCAGGCTGCACATGCAGCTTCTCTGCAGAAATTAGAAATGTCATTTAAAACCCTGAGCTAAAAAGCTCTGTGCTGTAATGCATCTATCTTGCAAAGACTGAAGCATCAGGCTTACTCTTACACAGGTGGTGGATCCCTTGAAATCTCTGGGGACTGCTTGTTGATATGTTCATTTTGCAGACTGACTGAGACAGAGACAATTTTCTTAGAAGGCCACCATCACTCATGTAGCCCAGAAGCCCAGCGATCCCGGTGCCTGAGCTGTATAAATAGAGAAACCATGATGGAGGGCAGAGGGTGAGCTGTAAAGGGGCTGGCTCAGCAGGCTGAGACCTTTGTTTGCAGATCTCAGTGGCTGTAGCCTTGAACGAGAACACAGAGGTATGTAACGAGCAGGTTGTAGGACTGTTTTCCAAAGGAAATACGGTTCTTTTTGTTTTTCAAGAAATTACTTGCTTTACTTCAGGAAGAAGGAACTGAACTGAGCATGCTGTGACCTTGTCATAACCACAATATAGTCTTCCTCCATTTAACTCAGAAAATGCTGTTGATTTAAAAGAAACTCAGAGACTACGCTGTAAAACATTTCTGAGTGCTCCCTGCAGTTGCAGGAAGGTTCATGTGTTGCACACAGCACACATAGAAAATATGCAACTCCTTTGATCGTGGTTCAACTTCCAATGACCTTCCTGCCTCCTATGCACAGACTGTTTCTTTCTGCCCTCTCACCCAGTCTGACTCCATTTTACACTGAACATAGTAAATTAATCCCAGCAAATTACTGATTTGGGGGATTAAATATTGGCCCATACATTTCTGTGCAACAATTAATGTATTATTTAGGTTAATTAAGGAAATAGATCAAGAGCTGCATTAGCAATCAGGCTCTTAACCTATCTAGCAATCCAGGCACAGAAACAATCCTGAGGAAAGGATGACTGACACAAAAATATTTGATTAAACAGAGAGAATAAATTGGGTGGCTGCTGCTAACACTACTTTGTGTCCAACATCTATCTGTCTACTGAATAATAACATTAGATAATCTCTTCTTTAATCCTAAAACACGTTTATGGCTTTAAGATATATGACTTCTGCAAAAGCTACATTCAAAATGTAAAATAGAAGTCTATCATGAATGCTGTCTATATGATACTGTCAAGCTTTCTACTCCATTCCAATAGGGCTCTTCACTTTTTTTTTTCCCAGTGAACAAAAAAGTCATTTCTTCAAGAGTGCTGGGATTTAGCCTACATAAATACCTTTCTCATTTTCAATATCGAACTACTCTTGTTATTTATTTATTCTTTTTTTCCCTTTTTTTTTTTTTTTTTTTTTTTGCTAGAACACAGGAGAAATCTCTGCCTAAGCACCTCTAAGTTAAAGGTAGGCAGAAGGGCTGAGGACAGCAGCATTGTTGGTTGCTGTGCATCCTTTTTTTCTCCAAAACAGGAACCAGTGATCTCTCCATGCAGTCAGGGCAGGGCTTTATCCCTGTCCAACTCCCTTCTGAAAGGGGACCACTTTGGCTACCTTTTGCATTTACCTGTGTGCAAAAATTGGCTCCAAGCTTGCGTGAATGCTGTACACGATAAGGCATGTAACCAGTTCCCTTCTGAAAATGTTTTTGTGTTCACAAAAAGATGAGTGTTTAGTCTGTGGGTGTTGGGTGTTACCCAACTTGAAGGAAGCATTCATGTATACAGGGCTGTGAAAATGAGTCATTCCTGTCCTTCTCCGTTCTAGCAGAAATTTTAGTAAATTCAGAGTTACTGGTGAGCCCTCGGGTGCCCTGTGGAGCAGCAGAGCCCCTGCATCTGAACGCTGCGTACTCCCAAGCTGTGAGAGCAAAAGGCAGCTGGAGCAGTCAGAGCACTTGTGAAGAAAGCAAGGTAAAGGCTGTGGGTGAAAGGCCAGACTTACACCCCAGCCTCTGTCATATGTATGTTGATAGTGGAACTAGCATACCTTGTAAATGTTATTTGTACTGTTTGTGAGAGACTGCAGAGCCAGTCAGTATTTTCCATGTTGTCTCAACACCAGCAGACTGCTCAAATCCTTCTGTTGAGGTTTTTTTCCCCTCCCTACTTAAAACAGAAACTTTCACTTCTGCTATTTGACAAGGAGCTTGGGTTACTTATGAAACCTGGGAACCTTTGTTTGAAAACATAAAGATATCTGTTACTTTCTGCTAATTATATAGTTTCATCTCCTGAACAGTGCCTGCAGGACTGCTGCTGTGCCTTCATCCAGCTGCCCAGCAACTGTGGGGCTGGTGTGTTTGGTCCAGATTACTCCTGATTAAAAAACAAAAGTCCTGCTGTGTTCTGTAAGAGAATTACCCCATGCCCACTGTGCCAGAACCTTCATTCCTCCCTCTCTTATACATATGGGCACTTGTGAGCAAGGGGAGAAATTGTAAATATATGTTTTAGCTGCAAACAAATGTATTATAAATCCTAGTACAAGCATGCACCAGAAAATGAGAAGCCTTGTTTGTTTGCTAATTAAGCAGGTGGGAACAGGTGCGATGCACCCCCGGTCTAGGAATCCTCTTTGTGCTGCTCATTCCTAAACCACCTCTGCCGCTCCAGGTGCGGCC